AAGGTATCTTAGGTCACCCCAAGGTATCTTAGGTCATCCCAAGGTATCTTAGGTCACCCCAAGGTATCTTAGGTCACCCCAAGGTATCTTAGGTCACCCCAAGGTATCTTAGGTCACCCCAAGGTATCTTAGGTCACCCCAAGGTATCTTAGGTCATCCCAAGGTATCTTAGGTCACCCCAAGGTATCTTAGGTCATCCCAAGGTATCTTAGGTCACCCCAAGGTATCTTAGGTCACCCCAAGGTATCTTAGGTCACCCCAAGGTATCTTAGGTCACCCCAAGGTATCTTAGGTCATCCCAAGGTATCTTAGGTCACCCCAAGGTATCTTAGGTCACCCCAAGGTATCTTAGGTCACCCCAAGGTATCTTAGGTCACCCCAAGGTATCTTAGGTTATTCCAAGGTATCTTAGGTTATTCCAAGGTATCTTAGGTCACCCCAAGGTATCTTAGGTCATCCCAAGGTATCTTAGGTCACCCCAAGGTATCTTAGGTCATCCCAAGGTATCTTAGGTCACCCCAAGGTATCTTAGGTCATCCCAAGGTATCTTAGGTCACCCCAAGGTATCTTAGGTCATCCCAAGGTATCTTAGGTTATTCCAAGGTCACATTGTAGGTAAACAATTACTCCTCAGTAATTTCTCAAGAAAAATGTGCAGAAAGGGTCAGAGCAGAATATCAACTTATAATATTTCATGTCATTTCATTCAAGTTCAATCTGTTAAAGTCTTTCATGACCATTGAACCTATTAAACAAGAGTAAAATAATCATGGTTTTTTGTTTTAAAATTGTTGCATAATTATTGATTTTACCCGGTATGAAATATTTTTATAACAAAAAAACTATGGATAAAAAATATGCAAAAATTGTCCTTTTTAAAATTCTTGTTTTAAAACATTATTACCCCTTGATATAATCAGATATATATAATTTATATATAGATATTTAACCCTAACCTGAAGACAATTTAAATCCATGTCACTTTACCAAAAATGACAAAAATATTAATCAAAATTAGAGAACATATCTACATGAAATAAACAAATCTAGGTGAGGTCTACCCAAGGTACATATACACAAAGTATCAAAGCAATCAGGCTTGTAGTTTTCAAGAAGAAGTTGAAAATATAAAAACTTGATGTGAACGACAACCGACAATTACTCATATGATAAGTTCCGCTTGACAAAGTCAACATCGGAGCTAAAAACAGCTGAAACTGGGACAATATAATTACAAAGTTTAAAAACAAAATTTCATTAATTATCAAAATTCTGGAACTTAAATGTTGAGCAAAATATGTTAAGACAATTTAGAGAATGCTAATTTGAAACAAACTACAGAGAAAAATGTGTCACTGCAAAAGATTTCATATGGTACTACAGGCTGACACATGTTGCAAGCAATATGTAAATAGCCAATCCTCACCTTTGTTGCTTTCCACTTGTAGGCTGCTACAAATGCAATAGTTAACACTGCCAGTGCTCCTGAACCAGAGAGTTCTAATGCAGCGCTACCAAAAAGACCTAGCAAACCACTGGCAAATAGTAACAGACTACGGAGTCCAACAAGTGAGACCTGAAACAAAATAGATTGAGTCAAACATGTGAAAACAACAATTAGTATTTGTCGCATACGACTTGTTTACCACTTCCGTGTCACTGA